TGCATGCCATCTCAACATGAGTTTTAACTGGCATCTCTCTTATTATAACGAGTTTGCGTAAGAGTCTTCATGCTTCCTTCACTGTGAACAAGCAGTTCATATTCTGAATCATTTCTGTAAGTGGCTCGTCTTCGTCTTACTGGTTTAAAGCTCTACTATTTTGAAGACAAGAGTCCCCAGCCAAAACACAATCCCCAGAGATTACCACCAACACCTTGACATATGATAGCCATCACTTCCCGAATGCATTAAGTGTTAAAAAGAAAAAAAAAAAACAAAAAAAAACGTTATCACTGAGATTCTCCTATTGGAAGGTATAACCACTATTCTCCAATATTCTCCATCTAACATATAATATCCACGAAAACGTTTTCCTTTGTGTGCGTGTGTCAATTTGCAAAAGTTAAGCTTCATTTCAGTAGGGGAAAGGATAGTTTGGAAGATTGCCCGAAGACAATTTCATGTCACTAAATGTCACAAAGACTTGAGTGGTAGAAAAGAAATGATAATTGAGGCTAAACAGTAAGTAAGAGAAAGCGTAAGATAGAAAAACATGTCTAAATATATTCGTACAGTCATTTCATTGCATGTGTAAGAGTTCGATACATTAATGTAAAACAATTTTCTTAATATCGTGAAGTGCAATTACCCGAAGAGGCACACGCATTTTCCTAATCAATATTCAAGCTATGTCGACAATCTCTTTTCTGAAAACTACCTTTAACAGTTACAGTTCACGGGACATGAATTTCAAATTTCTAAAAATGCTGGCAAACATGAAACCTCTGCCACAATAAAATAACCAAGCAGATGAAATGCATGTGTTAATAGTCTTCCTTCTTTTCCACTATGTGAGGAAATCCTCCATTATTTTTGTTAATTCTTAAAAAGATCCTATCGCTCACGAGAAATTTACAAAGCCCAAGCCGGCAGCATTTTAGACATCTAGAAAAAGTCCTTCTTCCAGGACACGGAACCCATCCACACACAGGGTTTGATTAGTCACCAGGAAAGAGACGCGGCTCGAGAGGCTTTCGAACTCTACAAGGGTCCTGTCGCTGAAATTTCATGACGGGAGAAGACTTCCCCTCTTACCTTCTACCCAGAGATTGTTTATAACATAAAACCCGCACAGTCATTGCGAGGGAGGGGAAGGATACTGAGACTCTGGTCATCTCTCTGATGCTGCGGGGTACAGGTAGGAGAGCACAGGGGACCCCTTGGACGGTCCTGAACATGGAAACACCGTGGCTTGGCCAGAGTCATTTGTGAGAACTAAGGAGAAAACAAAAACCTCACTACGCTGGACCAGAACCACCCCCCACCCCGCCCCGCCCTGTGACTCACTCCACCTGTGGCTTTGGGCGGGTCATGTGAACCCTCCGTGACCAAGTTTCCTCGCAGGGCAATCCTCGTGGTGAGGACTAAGTGAGCGTGGCACTTAGAATGGCACGAACGGCCTCACGTTCTAATTGGGCCGTGTTGCGTCACCACGGAACCTCGAAGTGAAGCATCAGCTCACACTCGACAGCGTCTCCTCCGTGATCCCGATGCACACGGAGGGAAAAGCGAGGATACACGCTGACGGTCTATCAGTGCAGCCCGGGCACAGGTCACCTAGCACAGTGCTATGAAAGGTGGCACGTGGTATGCGGCGGTCACCGGGGACGCTGGAACCAAGCCCGCGGGATCAATTATCTCTCAATATGGTTAATGCCGCAAGTGAACCAGGAGCTGGTGAGTTGCAAAGGTGAGCACGAAACCCCTGCCTGACTCGTGGTTACCTGTCAACACGCTCCCAACAGTTTATTTTTCTAATCTCTTCCAATTTTCTCTTCTCTTGGTCTCTGTATTTCTTCCCCATCCTCTCTTCTTTCATTTTGCTGCTTTCTTCCCTGAATAAACCTTGGACCTGAAAGGTTTATTCTGCTACTAAACTTACAGCGTGGTTCGTGGATCCCAACTGAAAATTATGTTAGTGCAACCTGGTTCCCAATTTAATTATTTTAATGTATTATAACATCAGTTAGTCGGCTATCTGGGAGAGACTGGGCTCTGGGGAAAATTTGAAAAAAAAAATGATTTATCGGAAATTAAAACGTGAAGAATGCCTTCCTCGGCATTTTATGGCATTTTTCAAGCCAGCTCACAGACACTCTGAAGTCTTTAACTTCACCCACTTAGTGACACAGTGCCCTCTGTCACTAACAGCACAGACGCCAACCACACAATCCCAGACGGGGAGCCATGCCTCACAGGAAGGACCGAGAAGTTCTAGACCACCTGCCTCACCAAGGATGCTGTAACAGACTCCTGTATCGAGCTAACCACGAAACAAACGCACTATTTTCTCACTGCTTCTACATGGGTTACAACATAAACTTCCCCGATCAACAAAGGTGTCACTTCGGTGACAACACGACACCCTCCCGAGTCACCCAAACCCTGCGAATTTCCACAGGACACAAACCTTTGGGAGGCGTGAGATTGACTCCGTTTTTAAGGCACCATTGCACGGGCAAAATCCCCAAGGAATCCGCGTGGCAGAGCATTGAGAGTTTGCTAGGTTCTCGTCTCAGGTCGTCAATAGTCACTTGAAAAAAATGATTGTTAAAAACCTGAAAGAAAAAAAAAAAAAAACATAGAGCCATGAGTTAATTCCTCGGGATCACGTACAAGGCTAACGTGAAATACTGGCACAGTTTCCACACACGATACATGTTACTTCATCAAAAACGGTTTGACCGCAAACTGGCAGTTTGATGAATAATACTAAATCGGTCCAGTTGTGAAAAAGTCAGAGATGATCACTGTGGTCATAATAATGAAAAGTAAACGAGTAAATAGAATATATAGGAGATAGAGAATGGAAGGTCACCCAATAGTCACGGCTGAAAGAAGGCCAAACTGATGAGGACAGACAGACAGACGGCAGCCCAGGGGAAAGCCAGGGTGGGCACGGAAAGGCCACACGGGTGCTTCTGTGTCCACGGCGGGGACCCACGTCCTCACACCAGGTCGTTCAGGAACCACCGAGGCCTGGCACGGCGATGCCCCACCCTGCAGCCCACGAGGACAGAAGTCACACTGGCCCTTACGCTGCGTCCTCACAGTCCGGTACCCACGTCGCTGTCGGTCTGTCCAATCACAGTGTGTTTTCCAACATGCATCCCGGAAGTCGGTGCTGCTAGCCTGCTTTCCCAGCCACTCGGCTGGAGGAAAGGGCTCCCGCTCTGTCCCCCCGAAGCGTCAGGCTTGTGTCTCCGTCCTGAAAATTCTGATTCATTCCCGTGGACTGATACCACGTCTTTCTCCCCCAACGGATCCTACATCGTTTGAGGACAGTGGCCTCTTCGTTACTCATCAAGGTGTTCCCACAATGCAGAGGAAACTCTCTGCACGCAGGAACGGGACCGTCATCCACTGACTCTAAAAAAAAAGCGGTCCATGAAG